TAGAATAATATATATACTAAGATAGGAGATTGTGATTGATTGTAATCAATCATGCTCATTCATCAAGGCTGCAATTTAGGAGATGATTTCTCCTTAATTACTATCTATGATATCTTTCCTTCAATATTCCCCCGCAAGATGGACGATCTTGGAGCTAGTCCAATCTTGGAAAATAAATCAAGAAAGCGTGGCTTAGCAAGTGGCTTAGTTAGAGCATCAGCGAGTTGGTCCGAACCCGAAATGTGTTGAACTCGTAATGCACCAAGCTGGACTTTTTCACGCACAAAATGGAATGCCAATGCTAAATGTTTCATTCGTGAATGAAAAACCGGATTTGCCGAATAATGAGTCGCACTTAAATTGTCACAATAAATACTTGGAGTATGTTGTAGCTTGATATCAAGCTCTGAAAGGAGAGATTGCAGCCATAAAATTTCTGAAGTAGCAGATGCTACAGCCCGAAATTCAGCTTCAGTAGATGAGGTTGCTAGACCTTGCTGCTTTTTAGAACTCCATGATAGAGGATTGCGGCCTAAATATACAATATAGCCTGTGGTTGAAACAAAATTATCTCGATCACCAGCCCAATCCGCGTCCGAATAGGCGTGCAAGCTTAATGGAGAATTGCGGTGAAGAGTAATTCCATGAGTTAAGGTGCCCTTCAAATAGCGTAGCAATTGTTTGAGAGCAGCCCAATGCAAGTCAGTGGGCTTATGCATGTATTGTGATAACCTGTTAACAGCAAAGGCAATATCCAAACGAGTTAGTGACAAGTACTGTAAGCCACCAACTAAGGTTCGATATTTTGTTGGATTTGGCAGGGGGGGTGCCATCAGTGAGAGTAAGTGGGGGATGGGTCACCATTGGAGTTGGGACTGGTTTAGCTTCACTCATGGCAGCTCGCACAAGAAGATCTTCAATATATTTCCTCTGGCTTAAAAACAAACCATTGGCATGAGGAAGCACCTCAACCCCTAGAAAGTATGATAAGGAACCAAGATCTTTCAAGGAAAACCGAGTAGCCAAAGTAGTGACAAATTCTTGTAGACTTGTAGTAGAAGAGCCTGTGATGATTATGTCATAAACATAGACAAGTAGGTAGATAGTGGTATCAAGTTGACGATACATAAATAGAGAAGGGTCTGATATGGTGTTGGTAAACCCATAAGATAGAAGAAACGTACGAAACTCTTGATACCAAGCTCGTGGTGCTTGTTTGAGCCCGTAAATTGCTTTGTGCAGCTTACATACATGAGAGGGATGATCTTTGTCTAAGAATCCAGGTGGTTGAGACATATAAACCTCTTCTTGTAATGTGCCTTGAAGAAATGTATTATTTATATCAAGTTGACGAATTGACCAACCATTAGTGACAGCAAGAGATAGAATGAGACGAACTGTTGTGGGCTTGATAACAGGACTAAAAGTCTCAGAATAATCGATCCCCGGCCTTTGATGAAAACCCTTAGCTACAAGGCGAGCCTTATAGCGTTCAATGGTCCCATCCGATTTATATTTAATGCGATAAACCCATTTGCAACCAACTAGATTTTGGGTAGAGTGGGGAGGAACAAGTTCCCAAGTCTGATTACGAGTGAGAGCATTAAACTCATCTGTCATGGCAACCCGCCATTGTGGGTCTTTTAATGCTTGTGTAATGTTTGTTGGTTCAGAGGTAGAAGCACCAACTGTGGTATGGTGGGCAAACTTAGGATTAGGCTTAATAATGTTGTTTTGAAGTCTTGTGACAATCGTTCTAGTTGAACGAGAAGGGGGAGGAGGAGAAGAAGGAGGAGAAGAGGAGGTAGAGTGGGTTTGAGCGGAAGCATTATTAGGAGATGAGGGTGAGGTAGGTGATTGTCCACTAGAGGAGCCGCTAGATTGTTGTAGAATAGGAATAGTGATTGTACACCATTCATCAACTGTAGTGGCTTTGGAAGGTGTGAAGGATGCACATAAATCAGGATATGGGAAAACATCCTCAACAAATTTCACATGCCTAGATGTGTATATACGTTGTGTGGGAGGATGAAGACAGTAGTAGGCACTTTGAGATGGTGAGTAACCAACAAATACACAAGGTAACGAGCGAGGGTCTAATTTGTGTGAGGAATATGGTCGTAACCAAGGGTAACATAAGCATCCAAAATTTCTCAACTTATGATAATTTGGAGGGGTTTGAAATAGTTTAAGAAAGGGAGATATATTTTGAAGTGATGGTGTAGGGAGTCTATTTATTAAATATGTGGCTGTAGAAAAGGCATGAGGCCAAAGAGTAAGAGGGAGCTTGGCATGTGAGAGGAGTGTTAAACCAGTTTCGACAATATGCCTATGTCGACGTTCCGCATATCCATTTAGCTCAGGAGTGTGCGGAGGAGTAGTAAGATGAGAAATGCCATTAATTGAGAGATATGGAGTGAGTTTTTCATATTCACCCCCATTGTCCGAGAACACTTGAATTATAGGATGCTTAAAGAATTTCTCTACAAGGGCTCTAAATCGTAGAAAAACATCATGTGTATCCGACTTTTTCTTTAAGGGATGAACCAAACATATTTTGTGAAATGATCTACAAAAAATACATAGTACTTGTAATTATCGTAAGAATAAACTGGAGATGACCACACATCAGTAAAAATGAGATTAAGAGGGGCTTTTGATGATAAAGTAGAAAGAGAGAAGGGCAACTTGTGACTTTTATTCATATTGCATGAATTACAATAGGACATAGCAAAATCTGAAATTTTTAAATCAAAACTGGAATTTAAAGTCTTAAGAATAGAATAAGATGGATGTCCAAGACGATGATGCCAATCATGCATCGGTAATTTTTGAGTAGTGTAGACTCGAGGAGGACTTGGATTCCATTCATAGACTCCGGCTCTAGTTGGTCCTTGGAGTAGGAGTGTGCCCTTCAAAAGCTCCTTAACACGAAAAAAAGAGGGTAAGAACTCGATACTTGTGTTATTTTCTTGACAAAATTTAGAGATGGATAAGATATTTCTAGAGATAGACGGAACATGTAGGACATTAGAAAAATTAAAAGATTTAGATGGGGTTGAGAGAGAGAAAGAACCAGTGTTTTGAATGGGTAGAGTAGAGCCATCACCAATTACAAGTTCCTCGGTGCTATCATAAGGAGCATGAAGGGAGAGGTTAGCAAGATCATTTGTCACATGATGAGACGCACCACTGTCTAAGAGCCATGTATTGGATGGCGGGACATTAGCAGTTGCAAGATGAGCATGAGGCGGATGATACCCCTTTTGTACAGCCCGGGCTTGGGTAGCAGTAGGAACCCGAATAGTGGGGAAGAGAGCCTTGAATGTTGTGCATTGATCAAGAGCATGACCTTGATTGCGGCACCATTGACATTTGCCGAGGTAAGGTTTTTGTTGTCGAGGGACCTGATTACTACTTGGAGTAGGAAGGAGAGCGGGAGCCGGTGTGGACAGATGTTGATGTTTGGTGTTGGCATGAGCACGATATTGAGCAGCATGAACCGTGGCAGGGAATGGAGTAGATGAAACTGATGATGCAACCATAAGTTCCTTAGTGATGAGCTTCTCATGGAGCTCTTCAAAGGAAATAGGGGCATCCCTAGCATTGACCGCATCAATAACAGATTTATAAATATCATAATCAAGACCAAGAAGTACCTTATCAATGATATCTTCATGTTCCATAGGCCTTCCCATGGAGGCAAGACGATCAGTACATTGCTTAATGGCTTGCATGTACTCTGAAATACTTTGAGTTGTTTTGGTTATTTTTACTAAATGATCCTTGATTTGTTTGAAGTGACCACGAGATGGGTTTGCATAGGTAGAGGCTAGAATATTCCAAGCCTCTTGAACCGTAGCCGATTGAGAAATAAGAGAAACAAGCTCTTGAGATAGGGTACCAACAAGAGCACCATAGACGAGACGATCTTGGCGAAACCAAGTAAGGGCAGCGGGGTTGGCTTTGTAGGTACCTTCAGCATTATTGATTGAGGCAGGAGGGGAGGGAAAAGAACCATCAACATATTTGTATAGGTCATAGCCTAATAACGTGGCTTGAATTTGAGCTTTCCAAGCGATATAGTTGGTAGGGGTAAGCTTAATTGCATTGTGAAGGTGAAAAATAGTGAAAGGTTTGGAAGGATCATTAGAGTTGGGAATAAGAGCTTGATGATCAGAAGACATGATGATAAAGAGGGAAAAAAAATCGTAGCTCTAATACCATATAAAGAATAGAGAAAAAGCTTACTTTGTATTATTAATTTACAGAGTATTTATATACAAGCCTTGAGTGACGACTATAGAAAATAAGTCAACAGATTTCTCCTAAATTACTATCTATGGTATCTTTCCTTCAATATCATATACGTTTTCAAAAAAAGAACATTGAACTTAATCATATACTTTTTATACCACAACAAGTAACGTATACGAAGTAAATCTATATATGTATACAAATGTATTGCTAAATCTTAACACCCTTAGATATTGTGTGACTAAATCTTAAACGATTAATCTTATAAATAGCTGATCACATATTCATAATTCACATTTCAAAATATCACCAATTGGAGTGTTGGACAATAGCATAATCAATGGGTCAAGCATGTCCATAATCACTTGTGCTGACACAATAAAGCTAGCATAAGGACTAACAATTCCATATTTCTATGTACTTGTGTACGAAGTAGTTGTTTTGTTGAATCAGAATGAATTGCATAATCAATACAATTATAGGCGTATAACGTTCATAGTTGCAACCTAATAAGAGGTATATAAAAGTATAACATTTTCCGTGCACTCTTTTTGACTTGCTTAAGTATGGACGTAAGAAGATCCCAATAAGTAATAATATCCTCTTTTATAGCCTAAACCTAGTATGAATGTGTGATAATCATACTTTATAACAAGATCACTTGTCAATCATGCTAAAAATTTTCCCCTTTTCTAAACGCAAACCTCTTAAACTACCCTTTGAATCAATTAGGTAAAGCGAAATTTCCTCAATGTACTTGGACATTAGCAATTAGCAACCATTCTAATATTCATTTTGCCAATATTATTACAATTGGTATTGTCCTCTTTAAATGGCTAGCTTCTGCCATTTCCCAACACAAATTGTTTACACTTGCATTTGAGAGGATTTAACCTAACCTCAAAACCTAACCAACCCCAACCCCAAAAAAAAAAAAGGAAAAAAATAAAGGAGAAAGCGAAAGATAACTACAAGAAAATTAAAAAAAAAAAAAAAAAAAAAAAAAAAGAAAAAAAATTCTAAGGAACATAATTGCTGAGGATCAGAATTTTTAATCAATGTGCTGTGCTAAACACAAGGTGACACGTAGAAGAATATTAGGCGTGTCCATTTAACGAAGGTTGCGTGTTGGGCTTTACTTCTTGGATATTATTATGGGCCTTCCCATTTCCATTCAGGCCCAATTCAACTGCATGTTCAGTTGTAGTCTTCCTTTTTTCCTCAGGAATCTTGTTCTTGTCATAGTATATGAAGTACAGGATCAGTTGCATTGCTCCTAGAGCTGTTCCAAATCCATTGGGTACCTGCCCAAAACATAGGGAATAAAATTATAAGATTACGTTTTCGTATTGAATGAGTTGTCATATTGTCTTAAACAGTTAAACCCTTGTAACTGAAATGGTCCCTTAGTTACATACGTTGTTTAGTTTCCAGCATGAATTATGACATTATCTAACCCGACCTAAATCCGATCTAGAAACCGAGCAACTTGTATTGTTGCCTATATATGTAATCTTTTTTACAATCAGAAACCAACAAAGCAAAGTTGTACACAAAGTGATTGAATTAGTGATTACCTTCATGCTCTAGGAAATTGTGGGCTCAAAGACTGTGACAAGGAACTACCATACACCCCTCCAAATTAAATAAATAATAATGTTTGCTAACAAAATATTCCATTTCAAGAGTATATAATGAAGTATCTATTTTAAGTAAACTGTAGCACTAACAAACTTTTAATGTAGCTTAATAATGAGTCATCACATACCCCTCAAAAACAAAAGAAAAACTAGTCATTTTCTACCTACATTGTTGTTGTTACATAGAAGAGATTTCTAGCATTTCACATGAATTTATTGAATTTTTCTAAAATAGGGTACAGAAAATTAATGTTAATCTATAATTAGAAATTATATTACTAAAACATTGCATATTATTATGATAATGTGATTATGAAGTACTTACAGCAACGAAAGGATCACGGCCGATTAATCCGAAAATGAACCAGGAAGTACCGCACAAGAAGCAGAAGAGTGATAGCAAGAATGGCATGTATTCCACACTCTTTGTCTTAATCACCAATCTCTGCATTAAGAATTAAACTAATTAATCCCAATTTTAATAAATTACAGATTATATCATAATCTTCAAATGCACAAAACTAAATAATAGCTAGTGATCCTTATAACAAAACTATTTGCACAAACGTAAGTCCTCTTTAAATCAAATGTACTACCTACACTAGGTGCAAATCTTTAAGTACCGGGGTACGTCCTAATGTGTAATCATTGAATTTTCGAGTTTTGAATTTAAATCTCCTTTGGTGTTTTGAGTTTACGCTCCTTTAAAAGACGGTCTACTACTTATCGAAAAACAAAATCAATAATAATTAATCAACATTTTGGGGATATGTAACCTCATGTCAACCTTATATCCTAATGATAGATGAATATCAAAATCTAGCAACTTGCTAGTGCCATCCCATTATAGGCAGAATTTAGGGAGGTCCAACAATTTTCCATTTTAAGACCCTTATTAATTACACACATTATTTACTCGTATTATAATGTATAACTACTTAACCAACTTAACAGAACAATAACATAACATAACATTATAAGAAAAACGTAACATATAATTCAATAAATAAAACTTACCATAATAGAAAGAGGAGAACCATACATGATGATGGAGAAAACACTAGCAGCAACACCACAGAAAATCTTCCTATTGTTGCCATGAAGAGCAAGGACTGAAACAAGCGCAACGGTGGCGAAAATCGAGAGGATGATAAGTAGTAGACCTCCGATCTTAAGCTTTTGTTTTCTTGGAGCCAAGATTAGAAAAACAATCACATAAACACTCTCAATTACTGCACCAGTTCCATTGATTGTTGTCACTAGGACGTTGTTAGGGGACACAAAGGGTAGTCCATACCTGTTATATGTTACATGATCATATAGTATATTAGTATATTTCAACATATTTTATCAACATTATTATTAAAAAAATTGATGTAATTAAGATATATGTTAGATACTTGGTCATGACAACTTCTATTTTTAGTAAACTATTGGTTGATTAAAATGTTGAATTTTATGACCAAATTCCATTTTTGGAAAGTGACATGCTAAAAGTGTAACATCATAGCACACATATTCATGATTTATTATTTAATAACCACTAAAAAAAACCCCATTAAAAAAAGAGAAATTACAGCTAAAATATAGGAAAAAAAATGGTTATTAAAAATTAAATTGAAGAAACTCTAGAAGATTAGAGAAAAGGGATTTACCAAGCAGAAAGGAGGTTGTTGAGCAAAGTCATAACATAAGGTACTCCAGAGAATTGCTCGGTTGATTTGTTCTTTATGATCCTCTTAAATGTCACACTGCAATTAATGTATTTGGTACCAAAAATTTAATTAATTTCTCAACTAAATTTCATTACTAGATCTTACTGATTGAATAAGACCCACATCATTTAGTTTCAGAAATATAAATGAAAATAAGAATTTATTGATATTTGTATGTTTGTCAAGAAAAGGACAAAAATGACTATATAATTCCAAGAAAATGTGGAAAATGAAAAATGAAATTTGCTTCATTTTATCAAAAATTACACAGAAAACAACAAAAGAAAGAAAATTAAATAAATTTTTTTTTAGAAATTAATGGATAAAATTGTGAAAAAATGGAAACCCATTTAAATTCTTGGCCAAAAATTCATGGGTTATTAATTTTTTTAAAATTGAACAACATACACTGGAGCTAAGAAGAGGAACAGAGCAGTTGCATTTCCTGCAAGAAAACAAAAAATTCAAGAAACAGAATTAAAATTGCTTCAAATTACACCAACAACAAAAGGATGAAACAATTAAAATTTGAGCAACACTATTAAAAAAATGAAAAACCCACCAAAAACACCGAAGATGAAATGAGCAACATTCATCATATTTTCTGTTTGTGTACTTCAAAGTGTTGACGAAAACAGGGGAAAAACAGAGAATGTTTTTCTTTCGCAATATTCTAAGTTTTCTAAGTATAAAAAAACTCGAATTATAAGCTGGGTTTTTATTGTTATGTGAATGTCGAAGAGAGAGAGAGAGAGAGAGAGAGAGAGAGAGAGATTTAGTATTAAAGTGAGGGAGTTGGGAAATGCTAATGCCGTTTATATAGAGAAGTAGGAGAGAGAAGTGAGGAGGGGAAGAGAGAAAAAAGGGAAGGGTTTTAATTGGGTTTGGGAGGCAACTATATTTTTTACTTCGTCTGTTTCTTTTCGATGTTTTATAAAATTCCGCTTTTCTATTGTATCGGGTTTTAAATTATTGGTTTGGTTGACAATCTTTGGTTATGTAACCTATATTTTATCCACATCTTACCTTAAACATTTTACCTATAGTTATTTACCCTTCAAATGTCGCATTTATTGGATCCTACATCCTACAAGTACTTATTAACTAATTAAGTCTACTTGATTATTTACCAAACTTACCTGACTTCTTTCATATCTAAACGAATATGGTAAAAAATAAACGAAGAAAGTATATTTTTTCTAACCCGCATTTTTTACAGGCCGGGACTGTTAAAATTTGTTCTTATCATTTGCTGTTTTTGTTAGTCTGATTTGCTGCGTAGACAGTAATTGTGGACGTGTGGTATAGAGTCTGAATTCTGATTATGTCACGGTGCCTTAGTCTTCATGGAATCATGGGTGGTTTGATTGTCCAAATTATAAAAATAAAAAGGGATAAGATAGAAATAAATGAGATAGGATAACATAGAGATATAACATTCATAGCGTATATGGGAGCAACAATTTTATAATAAGGTTGAAATTTAATGCCAATTTGCTAATTTCCATTGGATAAAATACTTCGGCTGTTTCAGTATATGAATTATTGTGTGTTTTTGGGAGGAGGGCCTTGGTTGATTGTAATTTTGAGAATCGGAATTGAGTGAATGACAAAATTAATAGAATGTAATTTTTTTAATTGAGAGAACTAGTTTAGACTTTGGATGAAGGATAATCTAAAGAATTGTTAAGGTTAAGGATGATAAGGTATATTGCTTTGCTATAAGTTTCTCGGCGTGAATTTTTTGATTATGTTATTACAAGTATCATACGTCCAAAAGTCTAAAAATGAAATTCTAAAACATATGGAAATCAAGTTGAAAAACAAGGTGGTTAACTAACTTACAAGTTAAAGTGAAAGAAATTAAAATACTTTTCAAGTAAAATAATATACCATACATTTAAAATAGATGAACATACCCAATCTTCTTTCACAAAAGAACATGAGCTATATATATTTAACTACCAAAAAAACCTTTGTATATTTTTTTTATTGAAAGAACATACAATGTATAACAATAGAGCATGATATTGTGATAACTAAACATGAAACAAGATTATGAGATATACATAAGTTACGGAATACTTTTTTGAATGCTAATTTTACGTACATAAAAAAGTTATTGCGTGTAATCTACTCCGTATTTCATCTTCATTAAAATGATTTCATCATTTGGAACATCAAAATAAATCATCAGTCAAATTCAACTGCAAAAACATTAATGACCTCACTATTTAAACACTTTATTTATTTATTTATTTTTTTTTTATTTTTTTTAACAATTACTCTATAATCCGTCCAAACTATTCTCTCTCTAAAATTATTTAATTAGAAAATTTAATGGAGCAAAATTAGAGACATTAACTTTTTCATCAAGCTGGACTAACATTATCAAGTACAAAAACATTAACAACTCACTATTAATTATTGTGACAATTACTATACACAAATTTTTATATGTGGCTAGCCACACCGTATGGCCGGAGTTACTTAACCCTGACCGACTGAGTAACCCCTGAATAAGTAACTCCTATAAGTAACCCCTAACCAACTGAGTAACTCCTATAAGTCATAACCTCTGACCGAGTAGCCCCTAAATAAGTAACCCCTATAAGTAATCTCGGCCACAAAAAAGCACCGATTACTATATATATGTACTCCCTCCAAACTATTCTTTCCCTAAATTATTCAATTAGTAAATTTATTTCTCCAAATATTATCTTTGGTAAAAAATTAATGGAGCAAGTTAATAAGAGACATTATTTAGCTTTTTCATCAAGCCGAACGAACATTATCGACAATTATATATTTATATTTATTATTTTATTATCACTAGTATATAATCGAGTGTACATTGAGCATTGTGCAACGAATAAACGAAGCACAAGTTAAAAATATGGGCACATACAACTCTCTTAAAACGCCCGTGATATAACTATACAAGTAAGCTTGTTGCGCGGACTTGCGCCTTGTATTTTACAGGCTATAGCACAAGTAGTAGTGCAAGTTTAAGAGTGAACCCCCCCTCCAAATGTCAAATTGCATAAACTTTCTATAGGTAAGCCTCGCCATTTTCTTTTCTTCGAATTCCTCTATAGTCTATATAATTGGTCCTACGATTTTGTTACTAAGGTTAATGTTCGTATGACATCAATTTCAGTGGGATGCATGCATATATATTCCCCAAAAATTAGGAAATACTCTCTCTTTAATTTAAATATAAGTGGCTATCTACCCAGTTTTCACACATTAATAGACTTAGTTATTTATTTATTTACTATTTTTTTAAAAATCTAATTTGTGAAAGGATACCTAGTGTTCATAAAAAGAACCTAGGGTAGGTTATTAATTGTAAACAAAATTGGATTGTTTGCATTTTTATTAGTAGCCCTATATACGGAGTAGCAAATTTTAACAATTTTAAGTTGAAACAAATCTAAATATCAATGTTTGTTTAATAATGTGGTTTAAAAGAGGAAAATCGGAAGTTGAAGAGAGAATAGGGAGAATCAATGATTAGTGAAAAATTGTAGTTTTATTAGTTAACCTGGTTTTAGGGAAAAAAATTAGAGTAGTAAACATGAGCAATAATGAAAATAAACAATGAAATTTAGCTTAGTAATATTTTTGGTTTCACATCTCCATTTATTTACTACTCCAATATTTTTTAGGGAGAAAGTTGCAACTTGCAACTCCTTACATGCAAGTAGACAAGTAGTTTTATAGTGACAATATGAGCACTATAAGAAAATTGTCTTTTTGTAGCGATTGTACATTCGTTACAACATGCATTTGTGTTTGTAAAATAGAAGAGAAATCTGTATCATTTTACATCAATATAGTAAACCCATATGAAATTGATACGATAAACATAATAATATATACTCACCTTTTTTATAAACATTTATAAAATTATGGAAAAGCGTATCGTTTACAATCGCCACTAAAACCCAAAAATCAATACGAAAAACCTTTTTTACACTAGATTTTAAAATTTTGTTTGACAAAGATAACATAAAATATGTCATACCTTATCGGAAAAACATTTAATATTAGAGCTTGAAGTTGCATGTTTGAATCTTGTATAGATCATATGTAGGGATTATTTTTTTAATTTTAATTTTTATTTTGTAGAAAGAGAGTTCAGATCAACATTTGTGCAATTGTATCGCTACAATTATCACCACGATTGGATGTGGTTTACCGTATCGATTAATGAGGACAACCCAAGCGAAAGCGAAAAACACTACTAAAGGCTATGATAACGGCCGATGTTGTATCGGATAACCATTTGTTGGGATTTTTTTGATAGCAATTACAATTGATACCTAATATTAAAATAATCGCTACGAAAAAGTAATTTTTGTGTAGCAATTGTGGAAATGGGTAACCTCTTGAGTTTCGTGTCTATAGATTTGCATTTTTATTGAATACTTGTATACGAAATATGATATTATATGTTATTTTGTTTGGGCAAGTTCCAAAGTTTTGGGTTCATCTTATGTTTTATTAACCTTGTGTTATTTTGCAGTGTGTATAATTATTTATTAATTAATTATCTCATTTGAGAGATATTTAATTTGTGGATTTGTAAACAAAAAAAAAACACAAATTATTAGAAGTGTCAACTAATAATAATAGTAGACTGTTTAACTAATTAATCATATAGTGACATGCAGAATATAGTACATGGAGACCTAATAAAGTTGTTTAGTTCACTTCATCAAGAAATTATATGATGTGAAGTAGCGTGTGGACTAATTAACCTAAAACTATCAACAGAATTCTTCGTCCCCAATAATGATTATTAACCTTTTAACATGACAAGTTTTTAATTGATTTGCTAAATATGGAAAAATTGCTTCTGAAATAAGTAGCCAACAATAATTGGATTATTGGAAGCTTAAAAAATATCATGTATAGTTAATTATAGGGCCACCAAGTACCAGCTATCAATTGAGCAATTGTGGAAGGAATCACACTAATCCTTCAATTACTTGTACACTTTCCTCTTTGTTTTTGTTTCCTTATGATCACATACTCATCACTCTATACTCAATCCGTTTCAAAATACTTCAGCCTTGTGCTCTTCGATTGTTATTTATTGAACTTAAATTATTTTTGTTGAATTTGAATTATTATTACTGAAATTTAATTGTTTCTGTTAATTAAAACTTATTTTATAGATTATATATCACACTTCCTCAGAGTTTTTAATACTTACAACACACTTTTTCGTCATGCTATTTGAGGAAATGATTAGAAAATGATAGCGGACGAAAGTTATAAGAGTAAACCGTAACAACTTAACGCATTCTTCTTATTGGTGGTAAAATAATTTCAATTAATTTGTTGGTTTACATAGTTCTTGGATCTTCTTTAAAGTCGTGCCAAAACGGTGTGTTGCAAGTAAATAAATATGGAGTAAGACAGTAAGTATATGTTTGATTTTTTTTTTTTTTTTACAGAATTTTACTAATTAAAAATTATTTTCACCGAATTTAACTTGTTCTTAATACAATTTTTTTTTTTTTAAATAAATTATAAACTTAATTACTTTTGCTGAACTGGACTAGATTTACCGAACTGCACTTATTTATTATTATTTTAAGGTATGTAATTAAAGAGAACAAGGCCTTCACTCTAATGGATTGCATTTAAGCTATCTCATCCTCAACTTATCTAGGTAAGAAGTAAATTTTCACAAAATTAGGTTGTTAATTTTTAGCGAAACATTTTTTCGCCCAAAAGTTCAACAAAAATTTGTAACTCGATGTCTCGATCTAGTAATAGGTTAACCTTTCTTTTTTCTCAACAAATTGAGTACTAAAAACAATACGTAGTAAATAATTAGTAAGAAGAATACAAAGCCTGGCCTCAAATCCTCAATTGAGGAGGACATACTTTGTGTTTGAAAATTTATAGAGTATCGTAATTCCTAACCCGGCCCACATAATAA